TTCTTCCGTTAAAGGGAGTTTTTTCTCCCCACTGTCGCCAAGTGCTTGCTCAAGGGGGATTTGTTGGGTTTTCCCTCTATAATAGTAGTGATAACAGTAAGGTCTAGACCTGACTTTGTAAAGTGTCCTGAGATGACTTTTGTTGTGATTTGGCGCTATACAAATAAAATTTGATTTGAATTGATTTGATAATAGAAGTTGATTTTCTGTAATTCTAAGCTGAGAAATATGAGAGGGGATACACCACCTGATCATTGTGTTGTTCATCTTGTGCAGTTTGAGGCAGAATACCGTCGTTTTGCTGTAAAGAAGAATGGCCCGGGTGGCTTCCAGGAGTTCTACGGCCTCCTCCAAACCATCCATCAGATCCCTGGTGTCGACGTCCTACTGGGATATGCCGACGTTCACGGAGACCTACTTCCAATAAACAATGATGACAACTTCCACAAAGCTGTCTCGTCAGCCAATCCACTGCTCCGCATAATCATAACCAAGAAAGGTAAGAGAGAGTAGGAACCAACTGAATGACATAATAGAGAGAATATTGAGCCTGAAGTAGAAAATGTGGGAGAAAGTTGGCTTCAGAAACACTGCACCCTAGAACAGCTTGATATGCAAGCAAACTTGTCTCGGTGCTGCACTGCTACACCTGTTGACCTGTTCCTCCATACATACAAATATTGTCTCCTGGTGTGTGTGTGTGTGTGTGCGTGTGTGTGTGTGTATGAGCCAGGGGCTGGGAACAGCTGCAAGGAAGGGCTTTGTTCTCCACATCAAACATGGTTTATTCTTAATCCGCAACATCACCTGATGATTCTGCTGCCTGTTTTTTTTTTTTCTCATGGGTAAACTATGTTGTGATTTTTTTTTTTCTGGGGCATGTCTACTTCATTAGACACTGCAGTGTCAAAGTAACAAAGAGAGATGGAACAGAAACACTGTTGGACATCGCCAATGCATTTCTTCAGTTTACCTGTTCCATATGTACAGCTGGAAGACACGGTCAGAATTAGATAAATCCTTATTCTTTCAGAATTTAAAAATCCATTCAATGTCAGTTAGTAAAACAGTCTGTTATGATTTAGCTTCCTGTTGCTTCCTTTTGTAGTGCATTTATTTTGGTTTTTATTCCTACCCCAGCTTTACTACAGTTCTCAATCAGTGTTCATTGTCCTCATCTGTTGCTATTCATTCCCTGGTCTTCAGCTATATATACCACCTCCTTTCCCTCAGTCACCCGCTGGTCCATTAACGATACTCCCAATGATTACTCAGTTCACGGCACCTTACTAGTTTGCATAATTGCTCACAACGTCCAGACGGCCAAAGCAAAGTATCGCTCCTGAAGTTCTTTCGTTCCTGCGACAGCCAGCACCTCACCTGAAGCCTCTGCTCTCAGCTTACCTGTTATCCTCGATGACGTGCGAGACCTCTCCTGATTTGTGACCATACTCTCCTGTGCTCCACAACACTGCCTGGCTAGCTCCTGTACCTCTCATTCAGCTTACCTGTTCCCCTCCATGTTGAGCAAGTCCTCTGCGGATCTGTGACTGTACTCACCTGTGTCCCACACCACTGCCTGGCTAGCTCTGGTACCACTCCTTCAGCTTATCTGTTCACCTTGATGTCGTTCCAACCCCCTCCAGTCCTGCAACCACCATTCACCTGGGCTCTTCGCCTCAGCCTGGGCACGCCAGCACCAGCAGAGATTCCACTCAGCTCCTCTTCTGCCGGCGATGCCACACTCATTCATAATAAAGCTTTTGATTGCCTCTATGTGAGTCTGCCTTTTAGGTCCCCTCTGCCTAGACTTGGCCCCCTTGCCATAACACAGTGTCAACTAAAGGTCCACTTATTCTCTCCTTTCAGAACTTTTGACCAGATTATATTGTCTTCATTGGCAGACAGACAGTCTTTGCTCAGAATTGCTCAACTGTAGATGTTAAAACTTTCCATTACTCTGAGTCAGCTTTGTTTTCTTTTTAAGAGACACTCCAGAGTGGGCTGTGTTCACAGTGCACTCTTTCAAAATATCAAGTAGAGAAACCTGACAATGGCAGTTAACTGATCTCAAAAAGCTGGTTATCACATTGTTAAGGTACAATTTTTCAATTCAATCCAATGGTATTGTTCCATCAAGATGAAACAACAGTGAGACAATTTCACAGGTAAAACTACCAGCTAATCTCACATCCACATATGATGGGAATGTAGCATATTCTGCAGAATAGCGTATATGCAACTGGTCATGAGGATCTGTCATCTATCATCTTTACGTTATATCACATAAGAACTAATGCTGCACTTTCTGTAGCATTTTGTTTTGTCTGCTTAACCCAAAATACTGCCAGATGGGGAAAGGGGTATTTTTAGAGCCCCTACTCGGCCCTGCCATCACTGATGCCATCATTTATTGCGATGTTTTACTGTAGACATTGTCTGATGCTAATTCAGTAGACATCGCCCATCTCTGAGAGTGCATTCACATTAAATATGCAGTAGAGATGCACCAGTAATGATTTTTAGATCATAATCTTGATTCATATCCCTATGCAATACCTTTTTTTTATATCAATGATTCCATCATGTTTGTATTAGCAGGCAAGATCCACTGCATCAGAATCAGAATCAGCTTTATTGGCCAGGTGGGTCGGACACAAGGAATTTGACTCTGGTACATCGGCTCTCAATGTGTATGTACATATCCCCATGCAAGGGGCAAGTAAACAGTAAACCAGCATGAGGCTGTGTAATATAACAAAATAAGCAGTATTAACAAGCAACAACCAGGGCAAACGATGCAAATTAAGCAGTATAAACAGGCAGTAAACAATGCAGACAGACAAAGGAATGCTCATTGAAATGAGATAAATAGGAATAAAAACAGAGTACTTAGAACTAGAAACCTAGTCCAGTTGATTTTTTTGAAGTTTTTTCAGAAAGGACTGGATGTTAGAGTCAGAATCCGCCTACAAACACATACCTGTTCAGCATCAGATACATGTCTGTGGAAGTCATTTTCTCTAACTTTATGAAACCTGTGATCCAGCATTCACTCATGGCTTTTGTGGTTGGTGTGTGGAGGTGAGAGAGGAGGATACTGGGATGCTGCTTTCCTCTCGAGTGGTCTTATGCCAATTGGCAATCATAACAGCTATCAGTGATAGAAGACATAAACACTGATTGCTCATTCATTTTAAGCAACATCTTTGCTCCCTTTGCCATGTGACAGTCCTGACAGATATACTGTGCAGTCTGACAAACACTTCTACCACTGATTCGACCCAGTGTGTGTATGTGGGTCCACAGGGTCTATGAACTATGTGTGACCATGTGTGACCACAGCTCTTTCTCCATTTTACTCTAAGTGCTAGGGGTGGGATAAAAAATGGATTCACCTAAAAATCACGATTCATATCTTTTACGATTCCAAATTGATTCACAAATGCTAAAAATCAATGTTTGTCACAATGTTGATGGAAATTAAAAGGCAGAATTTAACCGTGAAGCTTGTGTTGCACAAGGGCAGTACACACATAACAGAATTGTGGTTGTAATGTTAATTCATCATCAGACAAGGAATTCATCTGTGTGTTTATTAATTTGAAAGACAAGTGAACTGTGTGAATACGTTGTAGTCCATCACCAGCAGTAATGTTAGCAGACCACCAAACCAGATCAGCTCAGCAACACACACTGCAGCACTTCAGTCAAACTGGCAGGACAAAGAAAAGAGCTCATTTCTACAGACCTGTGCCTGTTTTGGACCAAGTTGGCTTTTTCTGGTAGTATTGCAGCACAGACACTGGTGCAGACATGACGTTAACAACAACACCGCCGACTGCTCTGCCTCGTTCTTCCCCCTCCCCTACAACAACACACACGCAGCTGCCAAAAACCAGCGTTGTATCGAAATCGGTTTCCCCATCGAAATGTGTTTCCCCTATCCTGAATCCTAACATTATCCTTACCACAACCACCGAGGGGGTCACTACATGAAAACAAGTTTTGAACAGGGGAAACACATCTCGACAGGGGAACAAATTTTGACACAAGACCAACAGTGGATGACGTAACCTACTCAAATTGCTAACTGAAGTAAAAGTAGCTGTGCTGCAGTGCAAAAATACTTTAAGTCCTGTATTTGCATGAAAATATGACCTAAAGTACCAATAATAAAAGTACTCATGCAGATTGGCACATTTCTATTAATGCATTATAATTATTGATGCATTATTGTGTTCATCACATTTGATGCTGCAGCTGGTAAAGGTGGAGCTCATTTTAATAACCTTATATACTAATAATTCAAGTGCTTTCCATACTGCTGGGCAGCAGTATTGGTTTTGATGCTCATCAGAACCAGTTAGCTTAACTGTCTGTTAAGCTTTATTAGCAGCTCAGTGGGCACAGGACAGAAACCAGTTGTATGACACACAGTAAACTAGAGTAAGAGCCAAATACAGTGCTTCTTTTTCATTGAATCAAATCGTTTTTTTTAATTGAAAGTTGTTAATTTAATAAATTGAGCAGTATATTGTTCAGTAATCATAAGAGAAAATTGTGATTCATATTTCACCTAGAATTGTGCAGCCCTGCTTATCATGTCTGAATTCTTTCAAATCCACTTATCGAGACTTTGTAAGTAGTTTGTCTGTAATCTCTGAACCACTCATTTTTCCTTTAGTTGTGCTCCTCGCAGTGGGCTGTGCTGCAGCTGCACAAGTAAAAACAACACAGTGATGATAGTATTACTCATTTATTATTCTGGGAATATCAGCTAAATAAATCATTGACATTTTACTGCACCGTGCTTAATATTGTGCTGCTGTGTTTGTGTTTGGCATAGGCTCTGACCTTGTTGCACATCTTAGGGAAACTTCAGGCTCAAGTCAGCAGGGAGTGATACTGATTTCCCCCCTAGATGGAGGCTTGACTCCCAGATGTATGCTGGGGGTTTTCAAATGCTGACAGCAGCAAGCAGCAGTATAGCAAAAGAATGAGCAGAGGATTGACAGCTTAAATACACCACCATGATTAAAAGAGTGCCGTGGATCTATGTTGCAGTGAGAGGTGTATGTCACGTGAGCTGCCATGTTTTCTCTAGGGCAGGAGGTATAAGTTCCTGTGTCAGTCGATGATGTCAGTGATTTTAATTCCATCTGAAGTGCTTTTGTCTGTGATTTTTGACCCGTTTCCCCAGACACTGTTGTTGTTGCCTCAAGCATTTTTAGGTATTTTCCTGAAATAGAGTACAGAGTCAAATGCAAGTCTTAAAATCCAGGCAAAGGCACATTTGGAATGTCAGTGACCACCAATATCAGCTCATATTGGGCACAGCATGGAAGAGAGACAGAATGCATTATTAGTGGGAGGAATGCAGTTGTTTTAGTAATCAAACCTCTCATTGCCTTTAAAAGCACTGTAGGAAACTAGACTTTGATTGATTTTCTCTGATGTCATGGTGGCTGATCTGAAGAGGCTCTGTCAGAGAAAGTC